GTGGTGTTTCATCTACACAATCAGAATGAATTTCAGGAACCAAAAAGTCATATTGAAAAACGTGACTTTCCTGCCATCTGGCCCTAAAAGGGGGCAACTAGGCATTCCATTTTGGCAGCTGTGGTTTAAGGAGCCAGTTGGCGCCTAGCTTATAGATCTGAGTTTCTAACACTGTTTCTAACACTTTCTAACATTTCTTTGATCTACATCCAGATCACAGAAGCACCCTTAAACTCCTTGGAATCCTTGCTTCACTTTGGGTTGCTTCGGAGAGACCTTGCTTCAGTTTCCAATTCTGTTGTTGTTGTTTAGTCGTTTAGTCGTGTCCGACTCTTCGTGACCCCATGGACCAGAGCACGCCAGGCACTCCTGTCTTCCACTGCCTCCCGCAGTTTGGTCAAACTCATGCTGGTAGCTTCGAGAACACTGTCCAGCCATCTTGTCCTTTGTTGTCCCCTTCTCCTTGTGCCCTCAATCTTTCCCAAAATCAGGGTCTTTTCCAGGGAGTCTTCTCTTCTCATGAGGTGGCCAAAGTATTGGAGCCTCAGCTTCAGGATCTGTCCTTCCAGTGAGGACTCAGGGCTGATTTCCTTCAGAAGTTTCCAATTCTGGATTCCTTCAAATCTTTTGCCCAACCCTACTCTCTACCCAGCTTCCAAGCCTGCATTAAATGCAGCTCATGCATTGCTAAGCATTTTATCTCAAGTGGGTTAAAGTTGCAGAGAGGGTGTGTGTGTGTGTGTGTGTGTGTGTGTGTGTGTGCCTCACAGGGTCAGATTCTGCTCATGTTACCTGACCCTCTGATTGTCAGGTATTCCTAACCCCTTGCATGAGGCACAGGTGTTTCAATCAAGCCATGTTATACTAAAAAAAAAGGGGGGGAAATGAGGTTTCACCTTGAAGTATGTAGAAGAGACCCAGTTTTGTTATTTAAGATTTCTACATAGCCCTGTTTCAAGTTCAAGAGGCAGATGATGCTTTTAATTTGCAATACATCAAAAGGCTTTCAGAGATGGCAAGGGTGCCTGTGTCACTGAAATATATATACTTCTGCATGGTGTGGAGAAAGTAGAAGGTTTTTTTTCCTCCCTTGACGTACTATAACTCAGGCATTCAGTGAAATGAATGAGCAGTAGATTTAGGACAGATGAAAGGAAGTCCTTTCCTATACGACAAATCATTAATTTAGAGCGAGGGTTGCCAGGGTTGCATTGTGATTTTGGAGTGAGTACAATCAGCGGCACCTTGCTCATAATTTGAATCCACTGGTTTGGGTCCTACCCTCTGAAGCAGCAGAAAAGAAGCTCGCTCCATCTCCCATTCATATATTGGAAGACAGCTATCATATAACCTCTCAGCCTTTTCTTCTACAGGCTAAACATGCCTAACTCCCTCAACCATTCCTCATAAGGCTTGGTTTACAGACCCTTGGTCATCTAGGTTGTCCTCCTTTGCACACATTCCAGCTTGAGGCTATCAATGCATGAGACACCATCCCCAATCTTATCCCTGTCCAGGAGCGACCCAGGAAGAGCTATTAAAAGGCATCAAAGGCCCTTGAGTCTCCAGCAACAATGCTGGATTAAGGGAGTATCACTAAGATACACACATTCTGAATGAAACATATGGGCATGGGAACCAAGCTGCTGTGAGTGCCTTTGGACAAGATGCTGTGCTAGATGGATCCAGCAGAATTCTCCTTGCATTCTTATGAATGGCAAACTCAAATGAACTAATATGCATGGCATACATGTGATCTTCCACTAAGGAATATATGCAAAGCATGTGCATCTCTACAATTTCTTGCAGTAAGGCTGCTTGATGCAAATCAATGTGTTGCAGTCGTTCTTTTACTGTTTTCCCTGTACTCTCATGTCCCGGCCACTGAAATTAATGATCTTTGTTGGAAGCCACCCAGAGTAGCTGGGGAAGCCCAGCCAGATCGGTGGGGTACAAATAATAAATTATTATTATTATTATTATTAGACTGATGGGGTGGGGATTGTCATCCAGAACATTGGGAGGGCTCCAGGTTGGGGAAGACTGGTCCACAGTAATCAGCAGCATCTCTCTAGGATAAGGATAGGCAACCTTAGTCCCGGGTGCCAGACACGGTCCTCCAGGCCTTGCCACTTGGCCCTTGGGACTCTCTCAGGCCACACACCCCTCCCCAGCCACACCATCTCTCCCCAGGTAAAACCCCTCACTGACCTTGCTAGAAGACACCCACCTTGGGTCTCTCTGACTGGCTGCAACATATACCCAGACTCTGATGAGGACTCCTGCTGGATGGAAGATTAAGAGGGGTGTGTGTGTTTGTGTACAAGCTAGGGGTGAAATTTGCATGAGTTGCTCTGCCATTAGTGGCTCTGGCCATCGACTTGGATGGCTTTAGATGAAGATGTGGCAAATTCATGGAAGGGAAGGCTCTCGATAACTACTAGATGGGCCACTGGCCTGATCTAACAGGGCTCTCTTAGTGTTCTTCAAACCCTTCTGGGATGGTCAGGGTTTTGGAAGGACTTCTTTGCTTTCCCTGCTCTGATACTAGGCCAGCCTGGGCTCATTCAGTGGAGATTTAGGTCAGTTTGCCTGCTTTAGCTGCTAGCACAGCTGTTCTCCGTTCTGCGGCTGGCTCTGAGGAATCAGAGCAGAGCAGGCTAGACCGCAAAAATCTGTACCTCTGGCAGGAGTTGGGATGCAAACCTTCCTGTAGGGCAGCCTTTCTCAACCTGTGGGTCCCCAGATGTTGATGAACTACAACTCTCATCACCCCTAGCTAGCAAGGCCAGAGCTCAGGGGTGATGGGAGTTGTAGTCCAACAACATCTGGGAACCCACAGGTTGAGAACCGCTGCTGTAGGGTTTTTCTCCTACTCATACAGAGCCCGCCCCCGCCCCGCCTCATCTTAGGGTTGATGCAGTGGGATTAAATGTCAGTCACCCTGTACTGCATGTTCTGGGGAAACATACAAGCCTACAAGCCCTCAATCTTTCCCAACATCAGGGTCTTTTCCAGGGAGTCTTCTCTTCTCATGAGGTGGCCAAAGTATTGGAGCCTCAGCTTCAGGATCTGTCCTTCCAGTGAGCACTCAGGGCTGATTTCCTTCAGAATGGATAGGTTTGATCTTCTTGCAGTCCATGGGACTCTCAAGAGTCTCCTCCAGCACCATAATTCAAAAGCGTCAATTCTTTGGTGATCAGCCTTCTGTAAGGTCCAGCTCTCACTTCCATACATCACTACTGGGAAAACCATACCTTTAACTTATACGGCCCTTTGTTGGCCAGGCGATGTCTCTGCTTTTTAAGATGCTGTCTAGGTTTGTCATTGCTTTTCTCCCAAGAAGCAGGCGTCTTTTAATTTTGTGACTGCTGTCACCATAAAAAGCCCCAAATATAGCCTTTCCTTCTAAGTGTGTGCATTTTTGTAAACCTTTCTTGACTGGAGAACTGCATGGCAAAATTTGGACTTTGAAGGGTGGCTGTGTTTTATAGAATGCGAATAAGGTAGATTTGCTGTTAAATACAAACTTAATCAAAAAGTTAACTTGGAATATCCTACTGTCATGTGTATTCTCCTTGCGGTACAGAGATGCTAGCATGCATCTGGACTGACTGCCCACTGTTGTTTTTCTGCTGCACATGACTGGGATTGCACATGTGATTGAGCACAATCTGCATGCACATGCAAGGATACATGCATGCCTTTTAAAAATACAGTGGTATCTCGGGTTACATTCGCTTCAGGTTACAGACTCCGCTAATCCAGAAATAGTACCTCGGGTTAAGAACTTTGCTTCAGGATGAGAACAGAAATCGTGCTCTGGCGGTGCGGCAGCAGCAGGGGGCCCCATTAGCTAAAGTGGTGCTTCAGGTTAAGAACAGTTTCAGGTTAAGAACGGACCTCCAGAACGAATTAAGTACTTAACCCAAGGTACCACTGTAGGGGAAAGTACCGTATTTTTCGCCCTATAGGACGCACTTTTCCCCCTCCAAAAATGAAGGGAAAATGTGTGTGCATCCTATGGGGCGAATGCAGGCTTTCGCTGAAGGCTGGAGAGCGAGAGGGGTCGGTGCGCACCGACCCCTCTCGCTCTCCAGGCTTCAGGAAGCTCTGCGCAACCCTTGGGAGACAGGCACGACTTCGCGCCGGGCTCCCAAGGGTTGCGCAGGGCTGCCTGCACTCCTGGGCTTCCCGCAGCTCTCCGCAAGCCTGGGGAGACCGGCGCGGCTCCCTAGGCTTGCGGATAGCAGGCTGTTCTGGGGGCTGGGGTCGGGGGAAGCTTGGGCTTCCCCCGCGCCAGCCCCATGCCTGGGGGGAAAATAATTTTTTTTCTTTATTTCCCCCCCCCCAAAAAAAACTAGGTGCGTCCTATGGGGCGGTGCGCCCTATGGGGCGAAAAATATGGTAAGCACCCGTGGAGAGCCTTGCTGGATGAGACAAAAGCACCACCAAGCCTGGCATCCTGTTTACTTGCATGCTTGTACACCCGCTGCTGTGCTGCTAGCGCTCCCCTGTGCCGTTGATACGCACACTCTTGCTGCCAGAGCATCCCAAAACGGAGTCCCTTTTCCTTCTCACTTGTCCTCCTCGCCAGCCATTTCTTGGGTAGAAGCCCGTGCGGAGCTGGCAACAGTTGCTTGCTTTGCAGCCTGTCAGTTAAAACACCGAAATCTGGTGCTCTTGGCTGTTGGGGAAATGCAGAAGGCCAAGAGCAAATAATTGCAGAGAGGGTATGGCAGGATATCTCCCAGCCCTGGCTCATCTTCATGAGGTTTTGACCCCCTGAGCAGCTTCCTAGCAGGAAGCAGGATCTGTCTGGAGCTGAGCATGTACACCCTGCAGAACTTCCTGCAGGACTCAAAGACCCTGGGTGGAGTCCTCATTTACTGAGCAGACCTTTTGGCTGCAGTAGCTCCACATCAGCATATTACCCTTGGTGCTGAAAGCGCCTCACTGCTTGCCGGAACATCACCAAGCCAATATTACTGCTAGTGAGAACCAGTGTGGCGTAGTGGTTAGAGCACCAGACTAAGACCTGGGAGACCAGGGTTCGAATCCTTGCTCAGCCATGATGCTCACTGGGTGTGACCATAGGCCTATCACTGGCTCTCTGCCCAATCTGCCTCACAGGGTTGTTGCGGGGATTAAATGTGCACCACTTTGAGCTCTTCGGAGGAAAAAGTGGGCTATATGTGCCATTAATAGTAATAATTAATGGAATTAGGGCATAAAGCCCTCAGGGTCTAGGACCATGGCTCTTAAACACAGGCCACATTATTGTAATCATCTGAGGAAGCAGGCCTGACTTTCCCACAGTTATTCACATATTCCTCTACTTTGTATGCAAACCAAAGCTTTTTAGCTCAGTGGCACCAGTAATTTGGAATGCTGTTTCTATTGAATTGTAGACAGGCACCTACAATTATTCTATTTTGAAACGTACTCAAAACATTTTCATTTCACCAAGCTTTTAAGAGAATTCGGTCACATCCAGATACCCGGGAGTAGCACCTGCAGATCCATGGTAGCTCTGTGAGGGAAAGGGCCTTCTCACAACTCTCGGCACTGTTTGTTAACTAAAGCTGCCAGGATCCTTCCGTGGAAACCACGACTGTTTAAAGTGGCATCATCATCATCATAATTTTATTACTTATACCCGCCCACTCTGGGCGGCTTACAGTACACAGTGTACATAGTGCTTCAAATATTTTGCAAGTACCCTGGTACCTCGGGTTAAGAACTTAATTTGTTCTGGAGGTCTGTTCTTAACCTGAAACTGTTCTTAACCTGAGGTACTACTTTAGCTAATGGGGCCTCCCGCTTCCACCGCACCACCACCGTGCGATTTCTGTTCTCATCCTGAAGCAAAGTTCTTAACCTGAAGCACTATTTCTGGGTTAGCGGAGTCTGTAACCTGAAGCGTCTGTAATCTGAAGCGTCCGTAACTTGAGCTACCACTGTATAGCTTTTGAATGTTAAAGTCTGGACATGGGATTAATTTCCAAAAAAGGGTGTCAGTCATATATATGATTTTAGGTTCTTAACTGCGATTTCGCTACTCTGACTCCAACAGATCCTGCAGGCGTGTATGACATTCTTATCAACCTCACCTTCTAAGAATTGTCCATGAGGTTTCCTCGACTGGATCATGGGAGTGCGGGACTAGGCAAGCCTAGCTCTAACCACTGTACTTTACTCTCCTCTCTGCCATTTCGGCAGAGCAGATCCCCATGGATCTGCACCTGCAGCGCCAGGGCCCAGCCCTGAAGCCACCCTTCTGCCTTGTGTGTGGCCTTGCCTCACACCCGGTGCCTCGGCGTGGCGAGATGTGGCAGGTCGTGTGCCGTGGAGACTTTGGTGTCTGCGCGGCCGCCGTTTGCACTTGAAAGATTTGAGGCCTGCGAAAAGGAAAAAGGGGGAGGGAAAAAAAGAAGCATTTAATTATCTGGGCAATTAATTCCACTCAGTATAGCTCGTGGGGAGGGGGTAGACCCGATGTCAATGGGGACGCTTATTTAATGAGGTAATGATGCTGGAGGGGGGGGGGAGACCCGAAAACCCCTGGTGAATTCCTCAGCCAGAGAAGGGGGTGAGGAAGAATTCACCTGAATAAAGGGGGGGGGGAATGGACGGTTGGAGGAGAGGTTGCCTTTATGGAGGCACAAAAGATTTCCGAATTCCCCCAGCCTCCACAGCTGCCCCCACCCCAGCCCCACGTCTGGGAATGCTGCCCACAACAACTTGGGCCTTGGGAGATGCCTCACAGTTTCTCCCCACGCTGGGCAGGCTAATGCCTTGCCAATGTCCCCCCCCCCCCCGCCGCCAATCCACTACTCCTGCTTGGAAAGCTGGACTTTTTACTATCGAAGATACGCCTGCCCTGGTCCTTTGGGGGCCAGAGCGGCATTCAGCCCTGGCATCTCCTTCGGCCTGGAGGGAGGCCAGCCAAGGCAGAACAGACATTTTAATGAAAAGCCCATCGACGTGGGCAGGCCGGGTCGGGCTGGCTTGGCTAAGTGGGCCTGGGGGGGAGTGGCACAGACTCCTGCCGGGATGGCAGCCAGGCCTGCGCCTGCCCGTTCCCATCGGCCGAGGAGGATTTGCTTTAAATGCCAGGCACAGCGTGCCGGCCTGCAGAGACAGACGTGGGCTGGAACGGCACAAAAGGAGCCCCCCCCAGCATCCCTGGCTCTCTCGTCCTGCCGTAGGAGGGCAGGCAGTCGAGTGCCTTCTCCTGGCTCGCACCCCGACGTCCCCTCCAGCCCCCCTCTCTGCTCTTTGCTGAGGTGAGAGGAAACAGCAGAGCCTGAGAGTCCCAGCTCTATGATTCTCACGGTTGCAAAGGATGACTGCTTCTGGCGCCACACGGTCATCCCTGACTGCAGGGGTAAAGGTAAAGGGACCCCTGACCATTAGGTCCAGTCGTGACCGACTCTGGGGTTGCAGCACTCATCTCGCTTTATTGGCCGCGGGAGCCGGCGTACAGCTTCCGGGTCATGTGGCCAGCATGACTAAGCCGCTTCTGGCGAACCAGAGCAGCGCATGGAAACGCCGTTTACCCTCCCGCCAGAGCAGTACCTATTTATCTACTTGCACTTTGACGTGCTTTCAAACTGCTAGGTTGGCAGGAGCAGGGACCGAGCAACGGGAGCTCACCCTGTCGCGGGGATTCAAACCGCCGACCTTCTGATCGGCAAGTCCTAGGCTCTGTGGTTTAACTCACAGCGCCACCACATCTCCCTCTGTTGGGGGCCGCTTGCCTGTGGTGGATGGGCCAGAGGCTAAACTGGCCAAAGGAAGAAATGTAACTTTTCCCATTTGTACAGTAGGCTGGTGTCTACACACAGACACCGATACAAATAATGTTTCTGTTTCCTGTTAATTTTGTTGCTTTGAATATATACTTTATATCTGACTTTCTTCAATGATGCTTTATTCTGGATTGACGATTTGAAGTTTGACTGTGTTGTCAACCACTTTGAGATTGTTCCTTCAAACTGTAAAGCGGTACAGAAATGAAATGAAAAATAATAAAAATAATATCAAATGTACTTCCAGATATGCCAGGCTTGGAAAAGAAGCTTCTATTGTTTATGTAATGAAGGAATGCCAAGTTATCTAAAAAGTATCTGGAAGTTCTAGTCCTTGTCAAATCTCAAATTATGCCTAATCTTCTCCATGATAAATATATTCCAAAGTGAGTGATACCTAGCATCTGGAACAAGATCTTCTGCTGAGCTTCAATTACTATTCATTCTGATATATATTTCAAGCGAAGAACTTGACAATTTGGGAGTGGCAAAACTCCGTGGGAAACTTAGCAGTGCGTTCCTAACCAATGTTTGCTCAGGAGTGAGTCCTATCCAATTCAGTGGGACTTATCTGCCAGGCAAGCAGAGTTAGAATTGTAACCTGGAATCTCATTGCTGTTGTTTGGGTAAGACTGGCATGCATTTTCCTGCAACATCAGCCCGGTGGGGGAAGCACCACCTGCTAAAGTGCTTAGCTCTAGGGTCAGAAACCAAATGGGGTCAACTCTAAGCTTGGGCTGGTTGAGAAGGTGACCTCTGACTTCTGTTTCTTTTCTGTTCACCTGCAGAAACACTGATGGACTCCACAACAGCAACGGCCGAGCTAGGCTGGACAGTACATCCACCATCAGGGGTGAGTTTGTGGGGAAGAGGCACAGGAACCGGAGTGGGGAAGAGGGGCTTCGTCAGTCTGACATGAGCAGGGATGTGTGAACCTATCAGTTTTGGCGTTACTCATTTCCCCAATCTTAAACTCAGTTCTCCCCATTTCCACACCAATTTGCTTTTTTTTTTTTTTTTTAAGTCCTTGTGAAAACTAATCAGCACTTTGTGCAGGTTTCTCCTAATATACACATTTTGGCAAAACAATTTCCCCTGATCGAATGCACCTCTGGAAGTCGTTTTCACAGATATATGTATTTTCATCCCAGTGTTTTGCATTTTTGTACGCATTCCTCAGCCGGATAGGTGAACTGCAGAATTTGGAGAAGTGTGAATTTCGAAGGGCAGCTGTTTTTCAGTTTGCATGCAGGAAGTGTGAACAAGGCAAGTTTGCCTATAAATGTGAATCGAATGTATGCCCATCTTTAGACGTGAGAAAGGTCTGCTTGGTCAGGGACAACTTTCTATATTGGTCTCCAAGAAAGAGGGAAACGGGCTAGCTTCAAGTGGCTCTTCAGGGTTGCAAGTTGTGCTGCGATGACTTGGTGGTGGGAGACGGTGTAATTTGAATTATCTCACAGGGTTGCAAACATGCAAAGCATGCAGTGCACGACAGACAGCAACACTGGTAGCTGCCTAATGCCAGTTCCAACTGTTTGACTCACAGGCTGTCTGACAGAAAAGAGTCCTGCTTCCCTGATCTGGGGATTGAACCTCAAACCTTTGACATGCCCTCCTGACAAACTGCCTTATATTGAGTCAGACCATTAGCTCATCCAACCCAAAATTGCTTACTCTGGCTGTCAGCGACTCTTCGGGATCTCAGACAGAGGCTTTTCCCACTCCTTGCAACCCAATCCTTTAACCCAGAGGTGTCTGGGATTGAACCTAGAGCCTTCTGCATTCAAAGCATGCAATCTACCACTGAGCCTCTTCAATATTGACAAGGGAGAGGGAGGGAGAAGATTTGCAGGTTTTTGATGAAAAGCTCCCCCCTCCCCAAGCCAATTTCAGAATCCTCCATGTAATATGTATAAGGAGAAGGCTCCAAACGCTCTCTGCTCATTTGCGAATTGCACCGAGGAAAATGCCTAGGTAATTTTCCGTCGGAATGCCACAAACTCTCACATAATAATTCTGATAAGGCTGACAGTGCTAATGAACGCAATTAGTTGATTAATTAAATTCATGGCAATTTATTTATTTATTTATTTTAAAAAAAAGTGTTTAATTGAGGGTGGGGACACTTTGGATGCCATTGCGGGAAGCAAGTTGATGTTTAGGCATCACACTTTGAATACGGTTTTTTGGGGGGGGGGCATGCAAATAAAGCGTTTGTGGTATTGAATCCAAGGAAATGCTTATTTCCCCCAGGTAGTCT